TATTGGGCTTTAATGGAACGTATTGGGTTTTAATGGATGTTAAATAATAATGATAATAATAATAATAATAATTTAAATAATAATAATATTAAGAAATCGGCGGATATATCCGCCGAAAAATAAATTTTCATGAAAACCGACTATTTTTTAAAAAAAACTTGAAAATTTTAAAAATTTTCCCCCTTTTTTTTAATTATAAAACCTACTTCTTTTCAACCGATGTTTTCTGTTTTGCACCACACCCCAAAGAAACCGACGAAACTATTGCCGACGAAGAAATCAACGAAGCTGCTGATGAAACCCACCTATAAGGCCGATAGCCATCACTTGCCACCGGCGGACAACAAAAAAGTTAACTTTCGTTCACTTCTACCGGATGTCCGTCGCTAAAAATATTCCAACAAGATTTCCGGCGGATTTCACAGTATTGGGTTTTAGTTGATGTTAGTTGGGTTTTAACGGTTCTATTGGGCTTTAGTGGATATTAATTAGGTTTTAACGGTTTTATTGGGCTTTGCAGAATCATATTGTGCTTTAATGGACCATATTGGGCTTTAATGAATGTTAGTTGGGCTTTAACTATGCTATTGGGTTTTAATGGATCGTATTGGGCTGTAATGGATGTTAATTGGGCTTTAACGGTTCTATTGGCTTTTAACGTAACTATTGGGCTTTAATGGATCGTATTGGGCTTTAATAGACCGTATAGGGCTTTAATGGATGTTAGTTGGGCTTTAACGGATCGTATGGGGCTTTAATGGATGTTACTTGGGCTTTAATCATGAGATAAAGCTTGTATACCTTTATGGGAGGGAGCATAGAAAGGATCATTACCATTTGTTATTCATATATTTCAAGTCTATTGATTTCATCTTCATAATCAAATCATCAAGCATGTTGATATTGGACTTGATTGGTGTACTTTTCTTCATCTTGTAGGTGAAGAAGGTTTTGAGAATGATGAGACAATTAGTTAGAGACTTTGTGAGGTAGAGCTCTTCTAGCTTGTTCCAAATATCTAATGTGGTTGTCTCTGAGCTTATCTCCGAAATCACCTTCTCATCCATTGCTAATTGTAATCTCGTGAGAGCCCATTCTTCCATCCCTTACAACTTTTCCTCTGATATATCAGGGGGCGAGTTTGTCTAGTTTCTAGACAACACGATGCACCCGGTTTCTTCGAAGTACCACCTTCATCTTCTACTGCCACTTTCCAAAGTCTTGTCCCTATTCCACCTCTCAATTTGAAATGTGCATCCGGAGCTGTATACAAACTTTTAATATAGGTAGAAGAAGTGCTTGAGGAAGACTTTTCTAAGTTTTCATCTTCTTTGGAGATTACCAACAAAACTTTTAATATAATAACTTATAATAGTAAAGGCATTAAATCGATTATCAACAAAACTTAACCATTCATAGACAAAATCTCATAAGATCCATAAATAAAATAAAGATGTGCAATATAAAAGAAAAATTGTTCACAAACCACTGCTACAAGCCTCAAAAGAAAGTCTTAAATTTCCACCATCAACAACTTAATAAATAAAATCCTCTAACGCATAAGACTCCAAATAAGCAACCCTATCACTATCATCAGAATTCCTGCTAACACCGCCAGATAAGTGTGCAACCTCCTAATCGCTCTCCTAGCGATGAAAATCAACTCTAATGAACGATCCATCATATTATTTTGAGTGCCTAGGGCTGTAATCACTCCATCGGCGAAGTGTCGATAATGCTCCAGCCTAAGTTGACACATCTCAAGATCTTGAGCCATGCCCAAAACCCATAAATTCTCCATGGTAGTCATACCCGGAGAGCGCTCCGATGTGGTCCTGGTAGTGGGTGGGGGTGTTACACTACGAGTGCGTGACCGTGATGGCTCCCTCACGGCTCCAGATGGGGCGGAGAAAAAGACACCCTCACAGGTGGAGGAATGCTCATTCGGGCGGTGGTCCGAACTCTAGCTCCGTGTGGCGCTATAGGATGCGCGGGTACAGAGCGAGGCGTCTGTGGGGTGGGTGATCGCGCCCAAGATTCAGTGACATCGTTGCCACTATCGTAACCGTGCTCTGAGGGATCGTAGTCTTCGGAGTTCGAATATTCATTTTCTGACGACATAATGCTGCGATATTTAATAAAATTTTAAATTATTAAACGAATCATAATAAATGACAAAAAGATGCAAAAATTTATGCAAACTCACATATGTGAACCGTGCTTTTCTTATTGAGTAAGAAGTCCTTAACTTTTAGACAAACACCTAACATAACCGATCYGCGTCTCTCCTTATACATACTTAATTAGACACAGGTGATCAGGCTCTGTCTAGTTAGAGTATTCTAAGAAGTCACTCGTTCTGGTTATTTTAGTAGTATGTCTGTTTTAAAATTTTGAGACTCTTTCTAAGAAAATTAATTCGTAAATTTTTTTTTTTGGGTTATAGTGTATGGTTTTCTTAGAAAACCGGTGTTCTCTATAACCTACAGCTCTGATACCAAATCTATCACACCCCGCTAAAGCGGAAACGCRAGGTATGGCAGGTAGAGTCTCATAGCGATAGAGTATAAGTAACACAACCATACATTTTAAAATTTAAATACATCATAACCAAAGTTTACAATCCCAAAGACAAGTTTATAATTTAAACACAAAAAAAAAATTGAAGTGATGATTGTGACACAGCTTCTTTTAAGAGTCACCATGAGCCTTTCTTACCCCTGAAAAAGCACGTCAAAACAAGTGTCAACTACAAGAGTTGGTGAGTTCACAGGTTTTCATTTCACAACAAATCTTTAAGCAATAAATAAGTCGAGTAAATCTTTTACTTACTTGCAACACTTTCATGCGAGGCACAATGTACTCCAAGAAATTTTTAAGTGTTGGGCCACTACTAAACCTGACACCTACACCCTTTTATACCGAACTACCTCAGCGGTGGGACTAAACCCCACATGTGTAGAACCCTTGTTTTAGTTATATGCACCCCTACTCACCAGCARAAGGTGGGATTGTCAGTCCAAATAGCGCTATCCACTTAAACTATCGGCTCAACGAGTTAATAGTAGTGTCACACCGGGACTTTTGACATAACCCAAACACAACTATTACTTGAGTACAAGGTGTTAGAGCTCGCATTCACAATTTCAGTTCAAAATATAATTCATAAGACTCAATTTGAATCTACAATTTAAACGCAATGAATATTGCATGCAAAACATCACTATATTTATACACGTTTTTCCCCCAAAAACGCGAAAATAATAAAAAGGGGCCGTGAATACTCACTCTTTTGCAATGCTCCGTAAAATAGAGATACGATCCGATCACCACACTAGTTCAACGATTCCCTATCAAAGAGGAATATCCAAACCATCACTTATGGATTTAACACTACTTATGGGGTTTAATAAGTCCTAAGTCCATAATTGTCTACTTATGTCCCATATGATTATCCATAGTCCAAAATGTCCGTATGCTCGTTAATGTATTAATTTATACCGAAAACAATGCTATAGTCCAA